AAACCATACGCTATTTAAGCTCATAAGTCTGTTATTTCCTTAACATTATAGGCTTAAAGTGCATACAATTTCTTACAAATGACTCAAGTTTATCCCTCTTTGTGCCAGAGTGGTGCTCCATAGTGTGGAAATGCCTCATTTTCCTTATCCATTCACGTGTTGACGGTACTTAGGCCGCTTCCACGATTAAGCCATTGCGAGCTGTGCTGCTATAAACATGGGTGTGCATGGATCACTGTCCTATGATGGCCAAGTCCTTCGGGAAGATACCTAGGAGGGGAATAGCTGGGTTGAATGGGGTCAGGCAGGGCTCCAGTTCTGAGATGGAAGGGCTCTGGAGATCTGTTGCTCATCAGTGTGAACATACTGTAGAGTTGAACACTGTTAAGATGGCAAAGTCTGCAACCATGTGTATTTTAGCACAATTGAAAATAGAAAATAATTTTTTTAAAGTTTGATGAAAACCAGAAATTTGTACCTTCTCAAAGTTATTCTCCCAAGATGTTTATTCAGCTCTGGGAGAAAAACAGCAACATCAAAGTGAAGTAGCCCAGCCTTTATTGATGATCATGTTCATGGTCACCAGGGCTGATCCTGCCTGATCATCAGATCCAACCGCTGTGATGAACAGAGAGGATAAATGCATAACTAAGTGCAGCACATCATTAAGGGCAGTGTCACTACTGAGTATTCCTTCCCAAATGTGCAGGACCTTGGGCTCCTCATGAACAAACATTGACAAAGCTAAAGTGAGCAACATGGACAATACTGATCAAGATGAGTTAAAAGTGTCAAGGTCAAGCTGGATGTGGTGGCACTTGCCTGTAGTTCCAGCACTCGAGAGGCTGAGTCAGGAAGATTGCCAGCCCAGGTTACATAGTCAGTTAGTTCAAGGCCAGCCTGAACGCCATAGTAAGACTGTGTCTCAAAAAAACAATTAAAAAAACCAGTGTCAAGATCGTGAAAGAAAAGAAAGGGCAGGAGAATGGCTCTTACAAGCCTAAGAAACTGCAGGAGGTGAAGAAGAAACAACTATTAATTACAATGCCTGATCATGAGGGGATCTCTGAACCCACAAAAGACATTAGGTACTGGGCATGGTCATCGACACCTGTAATCTCAGCACTCGAGAGGCAGGAGGATCACCATGAGTTTGAGGCCATTCTGAGCTACACAGTGAGTTCAAGGACAGCCTGAACTGTTAGATTTCCCTCACCGTAAAATGGCAGCCTTCTCCTTCCCATAATACCCTGCTTCCCACCTAAAAATATGGCTTCACCCACCAAAAGACAACTTTCTTGTTCCCAACATGCCCCTCTTCCCTCCAAAAGAATAACCTGATACTTGCTACCTCCTAGCAACTAGTGATGTCACAGGCTCCTGCAGTCCCTAGCCACTGCATCACTCAACCCCACCCCAGCTCCTATAAGAAGAGCTCCCTGTCCTGGCCATATTGCTCCCTCTCCTTTGTTTGGTGATAGCCTGGCAGATGGTCCCTACAATAAAGGCTTCTTGTGGTTCTGATCTGGTCTTGGTTTTCAGCTCTTTTACCTGACATGAACTACATAGTGTCACACACACAAACACACAGACACACACACAGACAAAAATGTGTGAACTCTCAATCAGGATTTTAGCTAATATATTCCTTTTAACTTAGTTAAATGGTTTCAGTTTACTTAAACTATTTGACTAAATGGCTTAAATTCATTTATTTAAATTTATAAAACTAGTTATTTAATGAAATGAATTTAGTTGTAACATAGTTGAGGGTGCTGGTGTTGCTCCCCTAGCATCAGTCACCATGTGAGCGCTGGGAGTCACGTGGAAAACACATGCAGGAGCCGGCAGCATAGACTCAACTCTGCCACCATGGAGCCAGGGTCTGGGACCTGAGGTCCCCTGCAAAGTCTTGGGGGGTGGGTGGGTGCCCTTCATCCCCACAGGTGCAGGGGTCCTCAGAACCCTCCAGCTTCAGGAGATTCCAGCCTTTGGGGGGTTCACCCTGAGTCCCCCCACCCTGGGGAGCAGGTGCTGTCACCTGCCCTCCTGAGGGACCCCTTCCTCTGACTGTGCACATCCCCAGCCTTTCTTCCTGACCCCACAGTTCTCACCCAGAGGTCCTCTCCTCCTGGGGGCTCTGCTGATGACCATGGAGACCCCCTGCACCCCTACCCCGAGTCTGCAGGCCTCACCCTTTGGGCTGCCTCTGCTTCTGGTCTCCCAGTTCCTGAAACGGAGCTTGACGAGCTAGGGACGAGCTTTCTCTCTCCTCTTACCCCTGTCGCTCCACGTGGCTTTAAGGAGGAGACACGGGATCTGTTCGCTGGAGACTGGACGCCCCTCCGGCCCCTGCCTACCCGGGGAGTCACATCTGTCACGGCTGCCGCTCCCCACACCCCATGAATGGGCCTTTCCTCAGGTACTCAGAACGGGACCTCTAATTCTCACCCAGAGCCTGTGGGCACTCGTGGATGCATGAAGGTCAACATGCTGGGCACATCTGCTGTGTTCACAGACGAGCTATATCTCCCAGAGTCCGGACCAGGGAGACACTGTGGCCAGGATCTGTGGGCCTAGCACAGACCTCAAGCTCAAGCTGGGAGTGATGGTTCATGCCTGTAATCCCAGCACTCAGAAGTCTGAGGCAGGAGGATCGACACAAGTCTGAGGCCAGCCTAGGCTACATAGTAATACCCTATCTCAAAAAACCAAAACCAAAACCAAAATGAAACAAAAATACAGAGAGCTCAAATCTCTGAAGCAGAAGTAGGAGGAAGCATAGGCAGGACAGACTACACAAAACTTAAAAGAAGCTTTGCAGTGCTGGGGATGGAACCCAGGGGCCCATGTCTGCAAGGCAGGCAAGCCCCTACCATTGGGCTACACCTCCAGCCCCCAATTCCCCAGCCTCCCTTTTGTTTTGTAGTCTAGAGATGGAACTCAGGACCTTGCACGTGCTGAGAAAGGGCTCTACCCTGAGCCATGCACCCCAGCCATCGCAAAACTTACATTTGTGACAGCAACAGCTCAGGTCACATACGAAATTGTCAGGCTTCAGCCATGAGATAGCCCTATATACTTCACTACTTAAACAAACATTTAAAAAGGAATTGGTAATTGCTAAGTTGGCAAATTGCTATTTAAAAAGCTGGCTCTCTGGACTTGATGATTCAACTTGCTGGCCCTGTGCTAAGCTGGGTAAATGGGCAAATTTCCTGTGGAGAAGCAGCTGGCACCGGTCCTGGCCAGCACCCTCTTGCCCCGGGGTTGGGGGCTGGACCTGACCTTCTGACTTGGGCTATCCCAGGGTGCTCAAGGGGCATCTCCAAGGTGTGCAGAGGAGGGTGGCCAAGGCACACTCAGCCTGGTCCTTGCAGGTAAAGCTGCTCCCTGTGGGCATCGCCCGAGAATAGCCCTGGGACCATAATCTGCCCATGCTTAGGAGGCTCTGGCTGAAGGGTGTCCAGGTGTAGGGGTCCCCAGAAGTGAGGCACAGAGGGCCTGCCTGGGGGGACTCAGGCTGGGTTGGAGGATAGGAGGCTGGCTCAGCAGGGGCTGGGGACCAAGGGGGCCTGGAGCAGGGCCAGAGCAAAAGTGTCAGGGGTCCAGGTTCGGTCTGGGGCCTTGTGGCTCTCCCGGCCTCTGGCCATGTACCTGCCAGGCACTGGGGACCTGTGTCTCTGCCAGGGCCAAGTGAGTGCTCACTGGGGCTCACTGGAGAGGCTGTGCTGAAGCGGGCCAGGGTCTCATGGGCAGGGGCAGCAGTGTCCACAGGCGGGTCCTGTCAGGCTGATGAGCTCCCAAGAGGGGCACTGTAGGCTGGGAGTCCGGGGAAGGTAGGAGGCTCTGCGTGAGGCTGCGTGGTCACGGGCACACAAGTCTGTGTGACACAAGTCTGTGTGACATATGTGAGAGACATGTATCCCTCAGAGCAGGTGAAGCCTCCACCCACCTCTGCCCACGTGATGCTCAGGGCTCAGGGCTGGCAGGCTGGCTGGCCAAGGCCTGGGGCTCTCCACATCCTGCAGGAACTTGGAGGTCCTTACTCTGCCAGGTAAACATCAATTAGGGCCACCACACCCTTGAGGGTCACTCTGGTGGAGGTGGGAGGCCGGCTTCCTGGGGACAGTGGCTCAGCCTCCACCCCTGCCTGGACCCTGAGTGCAGGACCACAGAGGATGGGTGCTCCCGACTCCTGGCCAGTGGGGTCTCCCAGCCTTTAGCTCCACCGAGTCCTAGACCCCTCCAGCCCTGGGCCCACTGTGCTGGACAGGCTCCCTCCATGGTCACTCTGATGATCATTGACACAGCCTGGAAGGCGTGGTTGTTCCCATTTTATAGATGAGGAACTGAGGCTCCAGTTGGGCTGGTGACTAAGGGAGGCAGCGTGTGGCATGTGGCTGGGGTGGCCCTGTTGTTCTGAGTAAGATGGGAGGCAGCTTGGCCCTCACATGTGATGTGCAGGGACTGGGGGTCACTTTTGAGGACTCTGGCTGAGGTGACTGCCCTGAGCAGCAGGGTGGAGTCCTCAGTCTGCTCCTCCAGCACCTGCAGGGGAGGCTGACCTCAGAGCCTCAGCGATCCTCTGAAGGGACAGGCATGGTGCCCAAGCCAAATGTGTGCCCACCCTCAGTGGCTGCCCAGGTCCCTATGGAACCTCCAGGAGCCTGGCTGCACCACACTAGGGTGGTGATCAGCAGGTGGCGATCCCTGAGCCTCCATGGGGAGCCTGCACTCTTGGGGCTAGTGTGACTGTCACCCCCAGCTGTCCCCCAGGGGCTGTCACCTTCTGGAGCACTTGGCTCTGCCTTGGGGACAGAGCCTGTCCTGAGGGGGCCTGTCCTGCTCCTGGCTTCCTGGCACTAGGGTGGGGGTTCCCCTGGAGAGGGCAGCGCCCAGCACTGGGGCTCATCCAAGCTCCTCCTCCCACTGCCTGACTCACCCACCGCCTCCTGGGCCAGGTGGGGCTTGGCAGGCACCCCACAGCCTGAATCAGAAGCGCCTATAAAAGCCAGAGGCTGGCAGAGTCGGGTGTCCTACCTGTCCCTGCTACAGCGGTGCCATGCTGGGAGGCTTGGGGAAGCTGGCGGCCGAGGGCCTGGCCCATCGCACTGAGAAGGCCACTGAGGGAGCAGGTGAGGTGAAGAGAGGGTCCTGGGTAGACTGAGGCCCACAGCCCCACAGGACAGGTGGAGCTGGGGCACAGAGTCTGGGGGGGCAGCACCTCATGGGCCCCATGCGACCTGCTCCTCCCCGAGGCTCTGGGGACAGGCAGGCCGGGCTGTGTGAGCAGCGGCTGGGAGCGTCCCCCTGGGGTCAGGAGCCCTTCAGTGTGAAAGAGGCCTGTTCTGTGCAGCCTGGGTGGACAAAGGAAGGCAGATTTTAATTTTCACTGTAACTTTTAACTTTAAATCTGGGAAGGTCCCTTCATTTGGAAACGGCTCTGGTTCTGCTCAAAGTCTATAAGGCCGTTTTCCAGTTCCTCTGAGGACCAGGGAGTCGTGGCTCAGTTTCTCCCTGTGGGACACGATGCACCAGCACTTGTGCCTGGGCCTGCCGGTCTCCCTGGAAATGGCTGCTTGTGTGTCTGGCTTCACACTTCTTTTCTCTTCCCTTCTGTTTCCTCTCGCTCTTCTCCCCCTTTCTCCTCTTCTCTCTCTCTGTCTCTGTCTCTCCCCCGATCCCCTCTTCAGTACTGGGGACTGAACCCATGGACTTCACACTGAGTTATATCCCGGCCCCTTTATGAACTGTTACTTTGAGACAGGATCTTGCTAAATGGATAAGTTGCCCAAGCTGGGCTTAAACTTGTGACCTTCCTGCCTCAGCCTCTCAAAGGGCTGAGATCAAAATGTGCCCCACTACATCCTCCTTTTCTTTCTTAGCTCCACAGTTGGTGTGGACAGCCCTCTTTACTTTTGCACTGTCTCTCAGTCACGTTATTCCCACTGGCAGATGAGGGGCTCAGCAGTGGGAGGGGGACTTGTGGACCTGGCTTGGGGCTGGGCCGAGGAGCATGGCTGCTCATCCTGAGCATGTGGTGACTTGGCAGATGCCCAGCCTGGCTCAGGTCCCCAGTGGGAGGAAGGAGGCTGCTCCCAATGCTGCAGGCCCTGTTGGGCCTTGGGCCTGGGTGGCCTCTGCCCAAGCCACCCTGTCCTGGCTGGGGTGGCATCCAGGGCCCACCGGCTGTCAGGAGG